TTTAAACTCAAGTGATTTCCTATATACATCGTAGCACTGAGGCGAGGAAGTTAATGTACCATACCTCTCCACAGACATCAGCTCTACGGCCTCATGCTATAGAAGCACTGTGCATTTTTATTATGTCCTATGTAAATTAAGGGTGCCTTGAATTAAATCAGATTGGCCTCTGAGTATAAAAGTTAAAGATCAGCTTTCCTGGAATTAATCCAAGCAATGTTCAAAGATGCAGTCTTTTAGGACACCTAATTAAAGCCATTCCTCCATCGCATTACATGCCTCTAGTAAAGGACTGAGAATTGGGAAGGGATCCTGGGACAGAAGTATCTCATCTGTTGAGATACTGTTGAGATCTATAATACTGCAAAGTTATATGTGTCTACCCAGAAGTAAGTCTCATTCAGTTCAGTGAGTCTTACTTCCAGGTAAATGTCTATATGATTGAAGCCTAAGAGTAAAACCCACCACTTTTCCACTCCCATACTCACAGTCACAAGCCCCAAGAAGTGAATGAAGGAATGTCATGCAGAACCGTGATTCCTGAGCCATGGAAGTCCCTGGTTGTCTCATTGTGCCTCCTACTTCAAGTCACAAGGAACAAAGAGAAGAATTAGAAGTAAAGGAAGGAAACTGGACTGAGGGGTTTCTAGGGATTACTTTTTCTCAGAGCTTTAATAGAGTTGTTAGTGCGATATGCAGATGATATAGTCATAATAGCCAAAAGTCTACAAGAAATGCTGGAAAAACTGAACCAAGAATCAAAAAGGTAGGACTGAAGATGGCTCTAGCCAAGACTAAAGGAATGTTCAAAGAAGAGGATAATATACAATTAGAAAATAAAGCAATGCAGCAAGTTGAAGAATACATCTATGGGGGGGGGGATCACTCTGGGAGAGAAAACTGAACAGTGAGAATAAAGAGAAGGGAAATTTAGCTTCATAATGAAAAAATATAAATATTTCCCTACACCTGAAAGCTAAAGTGTTCAATATGTGCATATGGCCTGTGATGTGTTATGGAGTGGAGAATTGGGCCATGGTACAGAGCAACATAAGGGACATGGGTGGCGCTGTGGGTTAAACCACAGAGCCTAGGACTTGTTGATCAGAAGGTTGGTGGTTCGAATCCCCACAATGGGGTGAGCTCCTGTTGCTCAGTCCCTGCTCCTGCCAACCTAGCAGTTCGAAAGCACGTCAAAGTGCAAGTACATAAATAGGTACTGCTCCGGCGGGAAGGTAAACGTGTTTCCATGCGCTGCTCTGGTTCACCAGAAGCGGCTTAGTCATGCTGGCCACATGACCCGGAAGCTGTACGCCAGCTCCCTCAGCCAATAAAGCGAGATGAGCGCTGCAACCCCAGAGTCGGTCATGACTGGACCTAATGGTCAGGGGTCCCTTTACCTTTACCTTACAGAGAAATATTAACAACTTAACATGCCATGAAATGCACGATCTTAGGAATATTATGAAAAGATAGAAACAACTAATGGAAGAAAAGAGTGTTAGTATGGTGATCCTACAATTTCAAAAGACCAAGGGGACAAGCACCTATGCAGTTGGTGGGTGATCTAAAACTATCAGCAAGGCTTATATGATACAAGAAGCAAACAACAGAAAACTATGGAGAAAATTTAAATAAGTTTATATCCGCCTATGGTTGAGAGATGCTGCAAAAGAAGGAAAGAAAGAAAGAAAGAAAGAAAGAAAGAGAGTGCACTTGAATGCTATAAATTCATTATCACATTCAGAGACATGGGATGAACATCATTTGTATCTTCATATTCCAAAGGTCACACTACCTTAAATGGGGTTAAGTTTGATGACTGCTGGAAACTTCAGCTGGTGCAGAATGTTCTGACTAACTTATAAAACAAAAATGAACATTTCATTTATGAGTTACTTTTCTAGTGTATGAAAAGAGCACCGACATTTACCACAAGCCATTAAAATCAAATAGTCTTTATTTAAATAAATGTGTGTTTAATAATTTTAAATGATGATTTTACGTGATTTTAGCATATTTCCCCAACCCCCCCCCAAAATAGTTTTAAAAATCCCGGCCAAGAATCATGTAATGCCCCAGACTTTGTTGTAGAATTCAGGCAGGGACTGGAACACCAGCCAGCAGTCAGACTGTCCATGGACTGAATCCTTGAAACCTTGTGATTCCAAACTCCAAACATTGTCTGTAACCAATAAAGTTGTGGCCTTATTAAACCCACATCAGCCTCCTCGTAAATAATTTCTCCCTTATATCACACTGTTACTGTGCATGGGCAAACAAATTAACCCACTAAACCTGACAAATAAATATAGATAAAGTATGACGGTGATCAAGACAGGCTTTAATAAACAAGTGTGTTGAGCAAAGACAGAAAGGGTAGGAGGAAGAAAGTGAGGATACTCAAGAGGAAACAGTTCCAAACCTAAGGGGTGGATGGTGTCAAATGTTTTTAAGAAGCTGTTGCCTAACATTTCTTCGTGTCTAACTTAATAGTAATAGTATTATATAATTTTAAAATATAATGCGAATTTCTAATATCAATAATGGATTTTTTTCCAGTGCATATCCTGCTCAGATTGAAGTTAGTAGACATGACTGACAGATTTACTATTTTCAGCAGGTCTACTCTGAATATAACTTAATTAGATACAGCAAAATACCACTCAAGTTCTTGTTCAATATCAGAACTCAAATTTTGAAATCCAAAATCCATGCTTCTAAGTAGGCTCATTGGGTTGTACCCAATATAGTGCTAAATAAGTTGCCCCTTTAGCACAAGGATTTGCAATTGTGCAAGAGAACTTTCTCCCCTCTCCTCCCTCTGTGTGTCCCCTAAATCTGTTCTGGGTTTCCCCCCAAACTCTCCAGAGCAGATTTGAGGAAGTTGCCTGGTGCGAGTGGGGGAGGAAAGGAGGGAACGTTCCCTGGCACAAGCGTAAATCATTGAATTGGATCCCACCCATCATTTTCCGTATTTCAAATCCAATTAACATACAACCCCTTCTCCCTCATGCTCCATGTGATATTAATTGCATGAAGGAAAAGAAGAGGGCTATGCCCACTGGCCTGATCCCCACTATCATGTGCCTTCCCTCACTGATCACATTGGAAGAACATCTGTAACAGGGAAGCCTGCTGGACATATGAGAGGTTCTCCCCGTGATCTGCAACCCTGATCAGGGTTTCAAATCATGGAAGAAGCCTGTATATGTGCACCAGACTCCCCTGTTACCAATCTTTCCATCTGTGTGGACTTTGAGTATGGTCAGGCCCCACAGTGATGGAAGCATGAAGAATGATCACATGGAGGACAAGAAGTGAGAAATGGCTGTTTGAATTTTATTAAGTGTTCACTTCTAAAATCAAAGAAACCATAGCAGCCTGTCACCAAGAACTTACTGCTAAAAGGAGAGGAGACTTGTTCCGGTCTCTGAAACTTCTATTGTGTGTATAAGGAGATAACTCTACTTCTTTGTTCTATTTATATTATAGCCTTCCTGTCTGTCAGAGTTTACTTTAACATTTCAAATCAAAATTATGCTCATCCTTCTGCCCTGATAAAAATACATAAGTGTCAGCTGGACAGAACTCATTTCATACAAACGTGGAGAGCATCTTTAAACAGCTTTGCTGGTCAACTCCTTCTTCACATTAATCACCATTTTAAAAGGGCAGAAAGCAAACACATTTCTACTGTGCTATGATCCATCAAAGAAAACGATTATATCTACATTCATCCATTGGTGTAACAAGGGTAAAATAATTACATAGACAACATTTTTTTTTATTCATTTGTATATAAAATACTGCCATAATATAAACACAGTATTTTAGACATAGCTGTTTTCACCCCATTCAATTAAAACACTGTGCATTCATTCAATATATGGGGTAGCCTGACCATTGTAGTCCATGCCTTGGTAACCTCAAGGCTGGATTACTGCAGCATGCTCTGTGTAGGGCTATCCTTGGCCCTGGTCTGGAAGTTCTAGATAATGCAGAATGCAGCAGCTAGACTGCTGATGGGGCACATAGCACCAACATGTAACACCTTTGTTAAAACATCTGGACTGGCTGTCCTTGTATTTCTGAGCCAGGTTCACCAATGTCTCCACTGTGGAAGGATGTGTGGGTCCAGAATTGGCCTCCACAGTCACTTACGGACTCATTGTTAAAACCATGTTTATGGAAGACAATCTTACTCAGCTACGAGTGATCGCCAAAGAAGAAAAAGAAGAAGAGCCAGGTTCAAGGTCCTTATATTAATTTATAAAGACCTCAACAACCCTTATATCCCAGGTCAAACACTGAGATCATCTGCCAGGAGCATCGTAGGTCATCCCCCAAATCAGCAAGGCTCATCTGAAGGCAACAAGAAACCAAGCATTTGTGTTATTGTTCCAGTCATGTGGAACACTCTGCCAATAGAGATTCAGCATGTGCCTTCTTTTGTAACCTTTAAAAGCCTGCTGAAAGGCTTATGCAGGCAATTAAGACAACACATTTCTGTAACAGTCGATGATCTTCAGTTTTATGTTTTTGTGTTTTTTATTGTATATAGATATATCAATTTTTTAAATAAAAAATCAATGATAGCAATATACAAACATGGTTTTTATATACAAATAATAAAATAAACAATATTTCTCCAGCAATTGGAGACTTTCATTTTCTTCAGTATCATAGTCTTGTTTTAGTAATACTCAGCTTTACAAAATAGGGCATTATTTTGTCACTAGCCATAAAAAATACTGATGCAAATTGAATGACATTGTTGATTCATATCTGTTGTTGGGAACACTATTAACAAATAAATCAATTGTTATTTTTTAAAAGAAAGTATAAGCAAAACCTGCAGTCATCCAGGTTCCTTAGTTTCCTGTTTGAAGACTATAGAAAAGAGGAACATAGGGAGCTGTTTTATACTGAGTCAGACCACTGATCCATCTAGCTCAGTATCCTCTACATTGACTGGCAGGTGTCCTTCCCAACCCTACCTGAGATGCCAGGGATTGAATTTGGGACCTTCTGCATACCAGGCAGATGTTCTACCACTTAGCTATGCCCCTTCCCCTGATGACTGATCCATGCTTCAGACAACCTTAGGCTCTAATTTTACTAACTTAATGAGACAGCATAATTTGCCCTTGCTGAGAATGGGACTCAAGTAATGTTGCATCATCCTAATAGGAAGTTTCAGCATGGCAACAAATGAATAAAGCCTGGCCATTTAAGCAACCTGAAATCAATTTAAATCAGTAATATACTTCTATGTTCTCCTTTCCTCTTGGCAAAAGAAGCTCACTGATCGATACCGGGAAAGACTGGAGGGTTTGCATGTTGAATACTAGTTAAATAGAAAGTTGGTCCATCTACTTCAGTGTTGGTCAGACCTGACAGTGGCTTTCCATGGTTTCAGGCAACACTTTTTCCCAGCCTTACTTGGAAATTCAAGGGATTGAACATGGGAACTTCAGCATGTAAGGCAAGTGCTCCACCACTGAGCTATGTTCCCTCCCAAACCTACATTTCAAGACTTACAGGTTTTTAAGGTAAAGCATTGACCTTGGCTTTACTTCAGCCAACATTTACTGTCCCTTTAAATAACTTTTGATACCTTGCCTTAGGCAAAGTCAATAATAATAATAATAATAATAATAATAATTTATTATTTATACCCCGCCCATCTGGCTGGGCCGCCCATCTGGGCGGCTTCCATAGAAACTGCTAATGTAGCACTGAAGAGCACCAAACAGACTAAACAAAGTCTGTGAATTATAAGAGAATCACAGGAAATCCTTGTTGCAAATTTACCTGTAGATTCTAATCTGTTCTTTCCATCTGTGTTCTAGGAAGACAGAGAGAATAGGGATCAAACCCTTAGTTCAGTAACTATGTACAGTGCTACTTTTTAGTTGCTGTCAGTCCACAAGTATTAAACCTCTCAACCGATCAACCTAGATTTCACCCACAGAGCTTTTACAATATTATGTTATTTCAAATCACCAACAATTATTCTTAATTTAAAGAAGACTGGAACAGTGTGTGGACATCTTCAGAGTTTGCTTGTTTAATGCAAATCACACTAGAGTCCTGTTCGCTTGCATTATGTGGATATTTTAATTATTTGAATTTGTTTGTTAAAACAAAAAACAGAACACACACACACAGTGATATTTTTTTTCAAGGAATAAGCCAGGATTAAGTCATTTAGAAATTCTACATTTTTAATAGATGGATTGGAACTCACAAGTAAAATATTAGTAAACTGAGGTTTTTCATTGCACCAACATGGTACTACTTTTTTGTATTAAATAAGAGAAATTACCCAATATCATTGTTCAGGGATCCCAAAGGTGTCCTCAGAGTTTAGGAGAGCTGCTCCTTCTTTCATCCAGGAGCAGAGATTACACTCCCTTATCCCTTCACTACAGATCTGAGAAGCCCTCTTCAACATGAAGGTGAGTAGCTGGCTCCTAACCTACCACACCCACCAGTCCCTAAACTCCTCAGCTTATCCCTTTCCTTTCCATAATTCTCTTTGAGAGTTATGAAGCATCAGCAGGTATGTGGAAACCTGAAGCCTCTCATCAGCTCCATCTTTACCCACTTGCAGTCCAGCTCAGTTGATTATTAGCTTCTTCAACAGACCAAACTATATGAAACTGGGAAAAATAGTAATTCATTTTTATGATTCTATTCTGAACACATCCACAATTTCCTTACTTGAATTCCTATTCACGTAATCATTTTTACTAGGCCCAGGGTGAAGTGGCCCCTGATTGTTCTTCTAAATGTAAATATCACTGGATAGCATATGATTACATAAGCTAGCAGATTTGGCTGAGTTCGATGCGGACCGATCAGTGATCAGGGAACAATCAAGATATATGCATGGTGAATCAAAAAGGCAGCCGCTGATTCAGCAGTGTGCCTGGTTACTAATATCCCATTGTCCTAAAAGGTAATTGTGAGTCAGACAGAACTAGTGAATCGGAGAGGAAGGAACTGAAAGGTGACAGAGGCCTGTCTGAGATGACATGCTGAAGGGGCGAGGGTGTGAGTGTACATGTGTCTGTGGTTACATGTGAGTTTGCACATGAAAAGCTGTACTTGCTTTGGGGTCTGTCACCACCAGCAATCTCGGGTGTCAACTTGAATAAAATATTGGGGGGGGGGCAAGTAAGACCTGCCCTGCATAATCAATCACATGATGCGGCACACACACACACACACACACACACACACACACACTATTTGAATGGCAATGCCTATTAAACTTGGGGGAGCTGGGCCCCTCAAATATTTTATTGGGGTGGCAAAGACTCTTTGGACCCTAGGAGTTGGCTCCTATGGCAGCAATGCAAATAACCCAAAAATGTTCTCCACCCTTGTACTAAGCTATAGTGTAGTGTGATGAGAATGAGTCCATGCAATCTTCAGGTTCATTCACTCCCTGCTCCTCCTGTGCGGCATTTCCCCCCTCTTTTTGTTTAATCACAGTTTGCTGTGTCATCCAAACTGTAAACCTGTAGTTAATATTAAATATGATGTATTTGAAACCATGGTTCATCCAGCTGTGTTGTTTAAATGGCACACCAAACTGTGGTAAACTAAATCTGGAAGTGAAGAAGTGGGGAGGGAAGGGGAGAAGAGGAAGAGAAGAAGAGTTTGGACTTGATATCCTGCCTTTCACTCCCCTTAAGGAGTCTCAAAGCAGCTAACTATCTCCTTTGCCTTCCTCCCCCACAACAAACACTCTGTGAGGTGAGTGAGGCTGAGAGACTTCAGAGAAATGTGACTAGCCCAAGGTCACCCAGCAGCTGCATGTGGAGGAGCGGGGACACGAACCTGGTTCACCAGATTACAAGTCCACTGCTCTTAACCACTACACCACACTGGCTCTCTGGAGGGAAAGGAAGGAGAGGGAAGGGGAGGGGAGGGGAGAAGTACAAATGTGAGGCTCACCTGGGTATCTTCTTATCACACTAAACTATGATTTAGTATGGTATCCAAAGACAGCTTTTGACAGCAGTATAAAGGGAAAATGGCAGAGCAGCTCTTGTGAGAACCACAAAACAATGCAGGAAACTGAAACAAAGTATTAGCAGCTATTTTCACTGAGGAGAAGTTTACTGTCTCCAAACATGGGACATATTGTCCATGTGCTTGGACAGTCTTTGTGTTCAGAGACAGTGTGCTTCAATCTAGCAAAAGATGAGAATTAACTAAAGGCGACAAATAATGCCACCATGTCCTACTTGTGAATATCCCTATAACATTTGGCTGGTTAATGGAGCAAGACAGAATGATTTGGGGGGGTTAATATTCCAGTCCTTATTGTCCTTTCATATGTTTCGTTATAAAATACCGTTTAGCATTTGTGCTGTGTGCCTTTCCAAAAAATAAATAAATATTGAATTTTGGATATGTCAGAATGGATCACACGTCATTGGCTGATGATGATGATGATGTTGCATAATATTTAATCAGCAATCTCATATGTCAGGATTGTAATTCCCTTTTTTAATGACCAGATAGAGATGATGAAAATAATTAGTGCAATAATCAATCAAAAAGTGAAGATTTATTGCTGTGATAATAATTAGATGAAAATACTTGGTGAAGTATGTGGGTGGAAGAAAAGTTATTATTTTCTATTACTCTATTATAGATTTGCAATGGAACTAATAATTGGGGGGATACAATAGAAGATGCTAAAGATGAAGTTATAAACACTGTTATATATTAACATGGCTCTTTTCTAATTATAATTTTAAGTTGCAATCCTATAGGCACTCACCTCTGGATAACTCCTATTGACCCTACTTATGACTAAGCATACATGAATTCTAAATTAAAGTAGCACAACTTTGACTAAATATCTAATATTTAAACATTGCTTTCTTACTTGGAGTATGGGTATTTCTCTGGCCCAGCTCTTTCTGACCTTAAACTTTTAATTACTGCTTGGAATTCTGCTATCCATAATAGCCATCAAGGCTGGCACTTTGATTATGTCACTTCTTGATATTGCTTACTTCACTGGGTCCTATTATCTTCCATGTCCAATTTAAACATTTGTTTCTTATTTTTTAAAGTCCTGATGCTTGGGGCCTCTCTGTTGTCTTTGACCTATCACTACATACCATCTTTTGCTCTTCGCTTGCCCGCTATTTTCTTCTTATTAAGTCTTAGCTTTCTTGCTGCATTTCACATCTCTATCCTTTCCCTTAAACATCTGAAAACACTGAGTTTGCTCATCCTGCTAATATTCTGCTTCTTTTTTAACTCTTAAAAACTTTGTTAAAACACACATTTTATATTTCTCTGTGTGCTTTTTAAAAATTGCCATTCTATTTTCTATTTCAGCTTGAATAAACAAAATCTCTCCATGGATTCACATTGTCCATGGGAAATATAATGTACCATGCAATTCTAGGTATGTGTACAACATTGTGTGAATATGCAGGCAAACAGGTAGGGGCTAGTCAAGGGCAGACTGAGGTTGGTGGGGCAGTGCCTTATTAGCCCAAATGGCTGAGCCTCCAGTGGTTGCACCCACCGAGGTGGCTGGGGAAAAGGAACAATAATGACTCTTTTGAATATAAAAAAATCTAGCAGTGATTCAGCACTGACTCAAAGACTGATCAAAACACAGGGTCTCCTGTGATGCATAGAGCAGATGCCAAAATAAAGAAAATACTGTTTAGACTAGCAAAGTCAGATTTTAGTTTTCGGTGGTGCACACTAGGTAGAATTAATAGACGTCAAATTAGGTAGCATCACCTAGCTCCTGGAAGGCATGACCTCCAAAAGGTAAGTCTCATTTTCAGATGTTAGAAGATTATCTTTTTCCTGTTTTAAAATACCACTCTGTGGTGGCTAAAATTAGCAGACTCCATAACATACCATAGATATAGATAGGTTGCTAACTACTTTGAGACATTTTAGTCCTCAACTCTGGGGTTGAAATCCCTTTTCTAACAATCCTAACCAAAGAATTGCCATTTTTACAACTGTCAAACAATGATTGATTTGAAATATCCAATGAATTGATGG